TTTTTTTTTCGGGTCGAATTTTAACTTGATATCTCAGCTCTGGAAGGGTCTAGAGCCCCATTTTTGCACTCAGGTCAAAGTCTCACAGCCCTCTTTCATATCCAGAGTTTTGAGAAGATTGGAGAAACTTAATTTTTCGCCCGAAAATGAAAAAAAACGAAAGGGGTAACACTGTCGTTTTTTTTCGGGTCAAAATTTTGAACTTTGATATCTCAGCTCTGGAAGGGTCTAGAGCCTCCATTTTTGCACTCAGGTCAAAGTCTCACAGCCCTCTATCATAATCCAGAGTTTTGAGAAGATTGGAGAAACTTAATTTTTCGCCCGAAAATGAAAAAAAACGAAAGGGGTAACACTGTCGTTTTTTTTTCGGGTCGAAATTTTGAATTTTCATATCTCAGCTCTGGAAGGGTCTAGAGCCTCCATTTTTGCACTCAGGTGAAAGTCTCACAGCCCTCTATCATAATCCAGAGTTTTGAGAAGATTGGAGAAACTTAATTTTTTGCCCAAAAACGGAAAAAAAACGAAAGGGGTAACACTGTCGTTTTTTTTTCGGGTCGAAATTTTGAAGTTTGATATCTCAGCTCTGGAAGGGTCTAGAGCCTCCATTTTTGCACTCAGGTCAAAGTCTCGTGGCCCTCTATCATAATTCAGAGGATTGGAGAAACTTAATTTTTCGCCCGAAAATGAAAAAAAACGAAAGGGGTAACACTGTCGTTTTTTTTTCGGGTCGAAATTTTGAATTTTGATATCTCAGCCCTGGAAGGGTCTAGAGCCTCCATTTTTGCACTCAGGTCAAAGTCTCGTGGCCCTCTATCATAATCCAGAGTTTTGAGAAGATTGGAGAAACTTAATTTTTCGCCCAAAAACGGAAAAAAACGAAAGGGGTAACACTGTCGTTTTTTTTCGGGTCGAAATTTTGAACTTTGATATCTCAGCTCTGGAAGGGTCTAGAGCCTCCATTTTTGCACTCAGGTCAAAGTCTCACAGCCCTCTATCATAATCCAGAGTTTTGAGAAGATTGGAGAAACTTAATTTTTCGCCCGAAAATGAAAAAAAAAACGAAAGGGGTAACACTGTCATTTTTTTTTTTTTCGGGTTGAAATTTTGAATTTTGATATCTCAGCTCTGGAAGGGTCTAGAGCCTCCATTTTTGCACTCAGGTCAAAGTCTCACAGCCCTCTATCATAATCCAGAGTTTTGAGAAGATTGGAGAAACTTAATTTTTCGCCCAAAAACGGAAAAAAACAAAAGGGGTAACACTGTCGTTTTTTTTTTTTCGTGTCGAAATTTTGAATTTTGATATCTCAGCTCTGGAAGGGTCTAGAGCCTCCATTTTTGCACTCAGGTCAAAGTCTCACAGCCCTCTATCATAATCCAGAGTTTTGAGAAGATTGGAGAAACTTAATTTTTCGCCCGAAAATGAAAAAAAACGAAAGGGGTAACACTGTCGTTTTTTTTTTCGGGTCGAAATTTTGAATTTTGATATCTCAGCTCTGGAAGGGTCTAGAGCCTCCATTTTTGCACTCAGGTCAAAGTCTCACAGCCCTCTATCATAATCCAGAGTTTTGAGAAGATTGGAGAAACTTAATTTTTCGCCCGAAAATGAAAAAAAAAACGAAAAGGGGTAACACTGTCGTTTTTTTTTTCGGGTCGAAATTTTGAATTTTGATATCTCAGCTCTGGAAGGGTCTAGAGCCTCCATTTTTGCACTCAGGTCAAAGTCTCACAGCCCTCTATCATAATCCAGAGTTTTGAGAAGATTGGAGAAACTTAATTTTTCGCCCGAAAATGAAAAAAAACGAAAGGGGTAACACTGTCGTTTTTTTTTCGGGTCGAAATTTTGAATTTTGATATCTCAGCTCTGGAAGGGTCTAGAGCCTCCATTTTTGCACTCAGGTCAAAGTCTCGTGGCCCTCTATCATAATCCAGAGTTTTGAGAATATTGGAGAAACTTAATTTTTCACCCGAAAATGAAAAAAAACGAAAGGGGTAACACTGTCGTTTTTTTTCGGGTCGAAATTTTGAGTTTAGATATCTCAGCTCTGGAAGGGTCTAAACTCTAGAGCCTCCATTTTTGCACTCAGGTTTAAGTCTCATGGCCCTCTATCAGAATCCAGAGTTTTGAGAAGATTGGAGAAACTTAATTTTTTGCCCGAAAAAAAAAAACGAAAGGGTTCTCTTCTGATAGAGGGCCATGAGACTTAGACCTGAGTGCCAAAATGGAGGCTCTAGACCCTTCCAGAGCTGAGATATGGAGATCCCACTTAGCATTTATGTCATTATAAATATTCAAAACTTTCCCTACAAAAAAGGGGGGGGGGGGCAACGTGTTACATAAATCCCATGAAACTGCCTGAAGATCAGTTATAATGGTACACATTTAGAGGCTTAAATAACTGGGAATGTTAAAGGATGTATAGTCCAAACCAGTTGTTATCAGAATCGCGATATTGACACGGATCCATCACAACATTTCTTCATATTAGGGACTGAAT